CTATGGCAGCTTGCAAGGGCCCAGCATTGGGCCATGAAGAGAGGCTACACTTCTATAAACTAGATGCTGCAGAAATCTAGAAAGAAACTTTGCTGTGCTTCGATTCTAACTGTACTTTTATTAAGGGCTCACAAATAATTATTCATCAACATCCGCGTGTTACAATTTTCAGAGATGTTCATGCAGTATTTATATACTAATCCAAAATCCCAATGGCAAATTAGAGGCCATTATCTTTAGTTTATGAATCCCAAAAGGTATTTTAAAAATCAATTCATAAGATCCATAACATTTTCCATTCATAGTTAATCCTTTAGTATCAGATTTAAGCATAACAGTGGAAAATATTTTATATTTAGAGTCAGAAGACCTGGGCTCAAGTCTTGGATCTTGGCCATGTACTAGCCATGTGACCTTTGGAAAATCACAACTTCTCCTAAGCCTCAATTTTCTCATCATAGCAATAATTATACTGGCACTACCTACCTCACAGAGTTGTTGTGAGGAAAGAACTTTGTAAAGCATTCTATAAAGGTGAGATATTATCATTTCTTAATATCCAACCTGATAAGCCTCTCTGTGATTCACACATTTAGAGCTGACAGAGACCTTCAAGACCCCTACAAAGGTCAAGTGACTTGCCCAAAGCTATACAGGTAATAAGGATTTAAATCTAGGTACTGCATTCCACATCAATGTTCTTTTTTAATATTACACTTAGCCAGGCTCCCTGAGCAAAAAAGACATATACAGAAAACCTTTCTGCATTGGCTGGACCTGCTAGGGTATGCATTAGGAGCACAGGGTAACCCTGTATTCATAATACAGAATCCAAGCAGGATTTTTACGTCCAAACGCCAAACACATGACAGAAAAGGTCTTGTTTTGCTTTTAGTAGGCTAAAATAAAGTTAGAAACTGCTATCCAGACACAGTCCATATGAGATATCACACAAAGCACCTGGCAAATCTTAGGGTACTATAAAAACACCAGCCATTACTATTATTATTGTTGGAGCAATTCAGTGGAAAACTCTTGGATAGAATGTCAAGGAAAACTGCATCAGCCAAAGAAAAATATTCACCATGAGAACTACTTCATATGTCAAAAAGAAAAGGAGTAAGAAACTCTCAGGGTATCTTCTCTACTTTGTTCACAGCCAAATTATTCTTCAATTTTAGAGATTTTCAGAATTTTAATTTGATGCTGCCACCTGCTGGACAATGTTTATATATAAACCCCATACCAAAAAGATTAAGTTCTCCAACTTTTCCCTGCAACAAGAATGAAAGATCATTCGTGGTACTGTAAAATGTTTGGGGGTTTAAAATACATATGTACTTTTCTTCATGTAAAAACACTTATGTGCATCAAAATGTAAAGGTTTAATTATATTGTTGTGATGCAAACAGCAGCAGGAAATTTCAGCAAAGAAATGACCTCCTAGAGAAAGGAATAAAATGTTCCACAAAGGTTCTCATTAAAAACAAACAGTCAGCAGAACAATTGTCATTCTCCTTCAGAGTGAACCAATCAGAGTTAATACAATGCAATCAGGACAGCCACTGGAGAAAGTAGAGGGTCAGAGGGAATGAGGTTCAAGAAAGGCCTTGCCTATAAAAGCTGAAGATGAACAAAATAAATATTTTTCCCCGTAGTCCTTACCAATGACTCAATTTTCACATTTTGTCCCAAATCTCATCCAATCTACAGCAAGATGAGTATTTTAGACCTAAATATATTTACCTTTAAATAAGAAATGCAGAGGCTACAATTCAAAAGAGCTTTTCTGGGCAGCAGGCAGCTCTCTCAGACCTCTGATTTCAACCTTTTGAACATCACAGTAATCTAGAAGGCAGACACAAGTCATGTGGCTCATCTGGTAACTGTGATTGCAAAAGTAGCTCAAAAGGCACATAAATGTGAAGACCACTCATTTAAGCTAAACATAAATGCCACTCTTCTTAGTCTTCAAAAAACATACATATTTTATGGATTGCCCCCTTGTGATTTGAAAAAGAACACAAATTAACATCGTTGGGTATACTGTGACTGAGAATGCTGTTAAAAATTAGTTCACTATAGCACTCCTTCCACAAGGAGTCTGTCTTTAGGATACCATCCTAGAGAGTATGCAGGAAATAGTTAGTGACCTTTAAAAAGGTTTTCTTTCTTTACTGAGAACTTGACAAGATCAACAAACATAAATATTTCCTATATGTACAAAGAAGAGAAAAAAAAGATTATATATTAAACCTTAAATGTCTTAGGTTCTTTAAGTATATATTGTTTTACACTATAATGTGAATACTTCCTTGATTGCCTACGCCCCTTCCAAACTTCTTTCTGCTCATCTTTCTGTATTCTTTAATATTTTATTGATTTTCTTTTTCTCTTGTCTTTTCTTTTTTTGTGGGGGAGGAGCGGAGAGAGAAACATTACTATCACTACTCCCTTCCCCACCTTTCAAGAGCTGGTTGCCAATTGGATAAAGAAGTAAACAGTTGGGGGCAACTAAGTGGTGCAGTGGATAGAGCACCAGCCCTGGATTCAGGAGGACCTGAGTTCAAATGCGACCTCAGACACATAACACTTACTAGCTGTGTGACCCTGGGCAAGTCACTTAACCCCATTGCCTAACCAAAAACAAACAAACAAAAAACTATCCAAGAAGTAAACAGTTAAGTCCTGTTTCTAAACTAGAAATTATGGTATCTTATTAAAATTCTGCATGTCATTACTGTCATGGTCCGGATTTCTTGCTTGGAGTAAAAGGGTTCATCTACATCACAGACTTGGAAGAAACCTCAAGAGATCATGTTTTCCAACCACTAGCCTTTAGGCACATTATCTTCCTCCATCGCCCTGTTAAGTGTTCAAGCTGTAAAAAATGCTATGTGGTGCAGTGAATAGAGGTGGGAGGCCTGAAGTTAAAAGGCCCTCAGTTCAAAACTTAGTTGCAGTATGACCCTGGACAAGTCACTTAACCCTGTTTGCCTCAGTTTCCTCATCTGTAAAATAAGCTGGAGAAGGAACAGTAAATCACTCCAATATCTTTGCAAGAAACTCTCAAAAGGAGTCATGAAGAGTCAGACATGCCTGAACAAGAACAATAGGTTTGGAGATTTTTTTTAATGTGTTGTATAGCCTTTTTTTTAACTTAGTACAACACACAGATTGCTAAAAAAAAAAAACAAAGTCTCTCAAATTAAAATTTGGTATTTAAGACCAATTGGTTATCATGCTGAGAGAAAAAAACCAATATTTTAGTATTTCAAATGGCTTAACAACAATAGCAAATTCAATTTCAGTGTGACACATCCTAGAATAAAATGTACCAACCATACTTCACTGATTTAAGGGAAGCCTTTCTGACAAAGTTCAAAACCCCATTACCCAAAGAGACCTTGAAACATCACTTTTCTATGAAGCGAGCTTCATTCAAGGTTAATCTGGTCCACAGTTGCTTCAAGAGGATTTCCCCATGCAGGGACTATTAATCCGGGGTCTACAGACTCCTGTGGATAGACTGCAGGAAGGTTGTGAACTTGGATGGGAAAAATTTTACATCTTTATTTTCACTAACTTCTAACTGAAATTTAGCATTCTCTTCTATTATAAACATAGGTAGCAACAGCCTTCATAATATCATTAAATAACAAAATGTAATTGTTAACTTGACTGTATTTAGCATATTAATAAAGAAGCACATGTTGCTTTGTAGCAAATTTGTTTTTTAATATTTTAGAAATTGTACTTTAACATAAATTGTTTTCTTTGCAATCCTATGTATTTTAAGTCAGGTATTTCAAAAACATGACTCTGAGAAGGGCTTCAAAGGCTTCGTCTAACTGCCAAATGTCCATGACACAAAACAGGCGAGGAAATCTCTGACCCAGAGGGATTCAAAGAGTCTGACATCACCCAACAAAAATGTATCAAGAGCCTACTTTGATCACGGTGCCTTGCTAGAGACTGGGAATACAGAGATAAAGATGAGACATTCTCTAGCCTCAAGGAGCTTACATTCAACGGGAATTAGTCTTGGGCATTCTACAAAGTTGGAGCTTCACTTCAGAGTTGAGAAGGTAATCATCAAAGTACCAGAGTAAACCAAAGGTCCCCTAACAGGGCCATTGCTCGGCACAGACAGAGAAGACGGCTGCCTGCCTCTGCAAAATCACTGGAGGAAAGCTTTAAAGGGATCCTTACCCCAAGTTACTAAACTCTGTCCCATTGCCTAAAATTCCTGCAGTAAAAGTCAATAGACTAAGGCATTGTATCTCCAGAAGGTCCTGTTAAAATAGAAATATGTTAAAGGAATTAATCCATTAACAGGATTAATCATGTTGGCTAACCTCAGAAAGTAGAGTCCCAAGGGAACAGGGTGGTAGGAAGGGGAGCTAACAAATGAAGTGTACAACTTGGTGGAGTACTTCAGTGATGAGTCCCAAGTAACTAGCTAACTTAAATACAGGGAATGTCTGGGTAAGGGAGGCTCCCAATAGAAAAGAGAAATGCCTGAGAGAAATAATCATTAAGATTCACACAGCTCTTTAAGGTTGACAAAGCTCTTTGCTTACAACACGCCTGTGAGATAGGTGGTACGAGAATCACTGTTCTTATTTTATAGATGAGGAAACTGGGGATATGAGTTTGCCCATGATTGCAAAGCATATATCTAAGGTGAAACTCAAAACTAGGCCTCCTGACTAAAGTTCTATTCACTGTATGTACCACATTGTCTCACTGGGATGTCACACAAGGACCATTTCTCCTGCTTCCCAATTTTGCATACTGATATCTCAGGCTCCTTAGACCTTCACTGTAACTAAACCAGGATCTTGGTGATCCTGAACGATTTATGCTAATGTGAAAACCATTTCCCTAAAGAAGAGCTGAATCATCACTCGTTAATTTTTGAGTCTAGTTATGTATATACTTGACTCAAATACATTTCTCCTACAAAACTTTTTTTCAAAGTCATGGCTCTTACTCACCAGTTGTCTCTTCTGAAGAGGTAGCCAGAGTCACAAATTTTTTGGTATTTTCTATCTCCTCATTACTCTGTACAGCATCAAAATTTTTGATAATCTAATGAAAGAAGGAGAGAGTCTGAATATAGGAAAGAAATAGGGTGACTATACTCATTTTATTTAAAAATAATAGCAATGTTTCCAGAATGGCTCAGAAAATGAAGAAAGTACAGTCCTTTTTTAAACTCAAATAACTAAAAATGTTCTAAATATTCCTTGTTCTAGTAATTTTTCTGCCGTTATAAGAATCTCATGCCAGTGGAGGCAAGTATATTTCTCTCACTGTATAATTACAATTCCTTTTTACCAACTATGACCTTTGCAGATCAAGTAAATAATTCCTTCATCCTGCCTGAAGTTGCCTATGGCTAATGAATAACCTAGAGGTACACTATCTGATTGGAATTCCAAACACTTCATGGTTTGAAAAATTACAGCATATTTACAGGCAACCATTGACCAAAGCCTATTCTAGACTGGCTGAAATTCACAGAGAATCAATGAGAATAAATGAAAATAAATAACTGACCAGGTTCATCTGTTAAAATATACCATTTGCCTTGACCAATTTTACATGTTACTTTCATGTAACTTTCAAGTTACTTTCATGATCCCTTTGACTCCTGCTCCAAAGAAAATATTAGCTTTCAAAAGTTTTTTATTAATTACATTATTTTTGGTGAAACCAGTCAAGTGATCTAGGAGAACTTCTTCAAAAATAATTCAATCTATTACTATAACATCACATTGTTTCTTCCCATGACCTAAGAAGTCCTCTCCCTGGAATGCATAAGTCCAGATTAGAAGCAATAAGCAGAAAGGAGCAAGCATCAGTATTACAGAGAAATTACAGAACATGAGGTCCTGAGAACATAAAAAAAAAAGTCAACGAGTATTTATTGAACACCTACTTTATGACCAACACTGTGCTAAGTACTGTGAGAGAAACAAGAAAGCTAACATTCTTTTCCTTAAGGACATTAGAGTCTAAATGAGAATGAAAGGACAAGATTATTCTATAACTGAAGATTTAAATGAAAAGAAAAACAATAAAGGTTAGAATGTCCAAGTGGAAATGTCCAGGACATATGGGCTTAGAGCTTGGGTGAGAGGTCAAGACTAGAGCAAAAGATCTAATGGCTGAACCCTCCATAGCTGGATGACATTCAGAGTATCACCCACCCACATTATGAATCTAAAAACAGAAGCAAGGATGAAGTCTGTGCTTCTATTTTGTCCTGACTATGGCTCTAACACTAGTTCCTCTTGGTATCTTAGAAATCTGACATCTAACTCCTGACCCCACAATTCAAACTATGTCCCTAAACCCTATCCCTAGCCCCAGTCGTTAAATACCAAACATTACAAAGCCATATGTTCTGGGAATATGAAGTGAACTCACTCAATAAGCATCATCTCTGAAGACTCAAATCACAAATAACAAGGATTCTCTGAAAGCCAATGATAAGCTATAGTCTTTCAGAAATAAATATAATATATATGCTTCAATGAATTTATGATCTCATTGATGTGACTACCCCCTCCAATGGTATAGATTGCAACCCATCTATGCTCCATTATCCTACGGATTGCATATAATTTTGATTTCGGAGATTGTATTTCTTCATGATTTTCAGCCATGTGGCATAACTGGAAAAAATTTTAGTATAAAAAAATATGAGTTTTATCTCAGAGAGTGATTTGGGATCTTGGAAAGTGCTCACAATTAACCAAATGCAATTAAGTCTACTTTATTCCTTCTACTTATTTCTGGATGCAACTCACTGTCCATCTGTAGCATCATTCCTAGATATATGTACTGATGCACTAACTCAATGAACTTCTTGTAGGAAAGTGTGTTGCTTTCTGAAAAACAGGCATTCCTCAGTCATTTAGGAGTTTTCTATACAGACTGTAAGATTAGTCTCTGTTAAATTTCAGTGGATCTAACTGAAGAGGCCCTGAAGTATCATGGGGTTTTATGCAAGCAGTATCAGTGTCATAACAAAAAGAAGAGCATAGAAAGGGTCTTACCATTCCATTCCTCTTCCATAGGACATCTTACAGGCCTGAGCTGAACTCAATATTTCTATATGTGTTCTCTATGATTAGTGAATTAATGAATCTTGAAGTGAAGTGAACTTCTTGCTCCATTATCAAAATCTTTTGTGATCTTGACGCATGTGTAGCTCTTGAGATATTTGTGTGTGTGTCTGTGGCTAAACTCCTTGAAAAAGCTATCTACAACAGGTGCCTCCACTTCCTCTCCTCTCACCCTTTTCTTAACTCTCTCTTCAGTCTAGCTTCTGACCTCATCATTCCACCATAATTGTTCTCTCCAAAGTTACTAATGATCTCGTAGTTGCTAAATCTAATGATCTTTTCTCAACCTTCATCCTTCTTGACCTCTCTTCAGGTTTTGATGCTGTTGAGTACTCGCTTCTCTAGGTTTTAGGACACTAGTCTCTCCTGGTTCTCCTCCTACCACCTGACTACTCCTTCTAAATATCCTTTGCTACACTTTCATCCAGGTTATATCTACTATTCATGGGTGTCCCACAGGGCTCTGTCCTGAGCCCTTTTCTCTTCTCTCTCACTACCACTCTACTTTATGATCCCATCACTTCCCATGGATTCAATTATCATCTCCATGCTGCTGATTCTCAATTCTATTTATCCAGCCCCAATTTCTCTGCTGACCTCCAATCTCACATCTCCAACTGCCAACAGGCAGACATTTCAAACTGGATATCCTGTAGACATCTTAAATTCAACATGTAGAAAACAGAACTCATTATCTTTCCCAAAAAATCCTGCCTACTTCCAAACTTCCCCTATCATTGTTGAGGGTATCACCATCCTGCTAGACCCCCAGATTTGCAAACTACATTTCATCCTTAATCCGTCACTATCTCTCACCCCCACATCCAATCTGTTGCCAACGTCTGTCGAATTCACCTTTGCAACATCTATCAATATGCCCCCTTCTCTCCTCTGATATTTCTACCATTCTGGTACAGACCCTCATCTCCTGCTTGGATTCTTGCAACAGACTGCTGGTTGCTTTGCCTGTCACAAGTCTCTCCCCGTTCTAGTCTATCCTCCAATCAGCTGCCAAAGTGACTTTCGTAAAGCACAGGTCCATGTCACCCCCCCTATTCAATAAACTCCAGTGGCTCTCTATCATCTCCAGGTTCAAATATAAAATCTTCTGTTTGCTGTTCAAAGCTCTTCATAACCTAGTTCTACTTTTCTAATCTTCTCATATTTTACACCACCTCCCAACTCCCCCCATTTATGTACTCTTCTTCAGTCCAGTGGCACTGTCAATTATACAACTGTGAAGCTATGGTCTAACACAGAAAATACTCTGTGAAATACTGTCTTCTTATTTTCATCCAGAATACCAACAAAATGTGTATAGATCATCCTCATAGAGAAGAGAAAATAGGCATATGAGTCTGTAATTACAAACTTCTCAATTGTCTTTTTTTTTAATCTGTGATTTTTTTGTCAGGTCATTCAATTCTATCCACAAGCACCAGAAAAGATGAAAAGATGCTGATACCGGTAACCTCTTATTTGTTGTCTGTTAAGCTGAAATTACTTTTATTTCTGTGCTGTGTCTTCAAACTTTCTTCTTGAATAAAGTATTTATGCTATAACAGCAAAGGCCTTCTAAGTAGGGCCTTAGATCACTTTCATTTCTTATTCCTGAATTATACTTTATGATTTTTTTTTGCTATGCTCCCCTGTGACTTCCTTCATAAATATCAGTGTATATGTAATTTGATTTGAGGGATACTGTTAAATTTTTCATAGAATTTCTTTGCCTCTTCATCCTCTGCAACAGATGCTTGTTCATAAGCTGGGGTTGGTCTTTTTGTTTGTTACAGTCTTCATCAGAACTTCAGAGAAATGTGACCAGGTAACCCACAAAAATATTTCTGATTCCCTTTGAGTATATTATCAAATCAAATTCCACCAATTCGTCAATATGTGAACTATCCTTCTATTTAGTTATAATTTCCTTATACTCAACTTCATAACAAAATTATCTAGGTCCAACTTATTTAAAAGACAACTGAAGCCAAATTAAATTTAGACTACTTAAGACAGTGCCTCATAAATACCTATCTTATATCACTCTTCTTAACTGTTTGCACAGCTGATCCATTGATCACAAATAAAATGGTCATCAAGGGTCACATTTTTTGACCTGGCTATTCATTGACCAAACTTTAAACTCTGTGTAGAGAGACCAGAGCTTCCTGCTCAGATGTAAGACCAAGATGCCCCACTCCTGCTCACTCTACAGTTCAGGCAAAAAGATCCAACCCTATACCTATGAAAATATTTATCAGTACAGGTCAGATGCATACCTATTATCAGAAATACTTCAGAACACAAATTGTGCTATTAAGGGTTAAACATACAACTATCTATTAACTATTAACCAGAATACAGACACAGCCAATTGTTCATTCTCCAAGAATAAAATAAAATATATCCTTAAAACCACCTCAAGTACATCCTACTTCTCATCAACACAGCCAGGAGATACCATGCCTTCCCTGGAGAATTTCACCTTTCACATGTCACACCAATTGTCATCTCTGTCTTACCCGAAGTTCTTCCCACAGCTTTGTTCTCATTTCTTGGCCTTGCTTTTTTATTTCTCTTTCTTTAAATTGTTTTTCCACCAATAGTTTGTCAAGTCTCTTCATCTTTTTAATAGCTTCCTGAAGTTGAAGATCTGATTCTTTTATTTTGGAAACATCTACGTGAAATGGAAAGTAAAAATTTGTTTAGCCTTTAGAATTGGAACAGATCATCTAGTTCAACCCCCCATTTTATAGATAAGGAAACTGGGGCTACTTGCCACATGTATTGCTACTTCTTGGACCTTTAGTCCATTCATTGCCCTTGCCCAAAACCATTCTCCTTCCTATTCTCCATTTATTCAAATCCCATCTCCCAACTAAAGATCTTCAAGATCTACTTCAGGTTCCACCTTCTCCATGAAGTATTCCTTGAACATATTAGCTTTCAGTGACCTCTCCCTTCCTTTGAACTACTATAGCAAGTAGTCTTGCCAAAGTATTAAAATTGCAAGGCTTTTCATTATCTATTTTTTTCTTTAATTCATTGAATCTCCACAGTAGGTAAAGCATTAAACTAGCCAGTGGTAGAGTGGAAATGGGCTGAACTTGAAGCAAAGAGGACATGGATTAGAGTACTAGTTCTACCACTTTGGGCAAATCATTGAACCTGAGCTTCAGCTGCTTCTTCTATAAAATGGAAACAAGATTATTTGCAGCACCTAATTCACAGGAATTGTTGGGAGGAACTTTGAAACCTTAAAGGGCTACGTCAATAATAATAATTTTTATTATCATAGCCAACATTTACACATCATCATAAGGTTTACAAAGTACCTTACATACAATCAGACCTCACAATAACTCTGTCAGATAGATATTATTCCCATTTATTAGATAGGGAAACTGTGGCTCAGAGAGATTGTATGATTTGTCCATAATAATATAGTTTATAAATGGCAGAAGACAAATTCAAACCCAGGTTTCTTCTGATGTACAGATCAAGAATCTTTTCACTATACCATATTGGAAGCCATAAATACATAAACATATATATATACATACACACACACACACATATATACATATATACACATATATACATACATATACACACATATATATAAACATATATACATACATATTCACACACATATACAGCCACACTTGGGGACAGGAAGATGTAAAAGAACAGAACTTGGCCTCAAGAAGCTTATACTATGGTAGGGGAAATTAGACACGGACACAAGTAACTACTAAACTTGGAGCTGAGAGACATAGGTTGGAGTCCTGCCTCTGACGCTTAATATAAGCTACGTCACCATCAGCAAGAGGTAAATGATTTCATTACTTCTGAGCCCCAATTACCTCATCAGTAAGATGGAAGAAAATAATACCTGTAAGACTTGCCTTAAAGTAGCTGTGAAAATGAGGTATGAATGAGATAAAGGATATAAAATGCTTTGCAAACCACAAAGCATTATTCAGATATCAACTATTATTATCATTACAATGAATAAAGTTCTATATGTGAACAAAGAAATCTCAAAAAAAAAAACTTCCAGGAAATGTTTCATTTAGTTAACCAGGAATTTCCTTGAATTTTTATTTTTAACATTAAATTCTAGGAAATTGGAACCACTTAGGGCCTTTGAAATTATTCAAATTTTAAATTAAATGTGACTAAAAGTAATAACCTTGCAGGGAAATAATCAAATATTGAACCACTTTGGGTTTTTTTAGCCTTCCCACAAGAAGCCAGCAGGAGTTTATACAGTTACATGAAAGAAAGTCACAGCTTCTGAGATGTCGAAATGATCAATCACATTCCCCCTAATGGGGCCACTTTGTTTTTGAAGGGGAGGAGTCTGCAAGAATATCAGCCCTATTAATGAATGGGTACTGTAACACTTAATGCAGCCAGTGGAATATCTCTAATTCCCCACTGCCATTCCTAACATTCTCAGCTTGTGTCTACTTGGGTGGTCAAAAGATCAGGTATTTAAAAGTGTCTTACACAGTTTATACAGCTACTATAGTAAGATAAATACAACTGACATTTGTCTTACTGTACTGTGGTCCACAACAAACCTAAACCATACTACCTTCTTTCACTTGGCTTAGGATATCCTTAGGCATGTCAAAGAGAGTGAAATACTGAACTTCATATTCATCTTCTGAAGCAATCATACTGGAATTAAGTTCTTGTAATCAAGCAAAAACAAAAATGACAATATTCAGCCTTTCAAAAATTAAGTAAAACTAAATAAAAATTCACACATACGAAACAGAAACATTGGGTCTGTGTCCTGACTCCAACATTTACTATTTTCATAGCCTGAGTCATTTTAACCATTTAAGCCTCAGTTTACTCATCTATAAAGTACACAGATCTCTATTACAGAGGATTACAGTAAAAAAAAATGCTTTATCAAGATTAAAGCACTATGTTATCATATTGTTATTATGAGTGTGATTAATAAAATGTATTAATAAGTTATACTTATCATATAATTTCAATCATACAGAGGTTTGTGAAAAGAGACAATTTCTCATCGTGGATAGATTATTGGGTTAGAGATAAGTACTTATCATCATGGGTACAGTCATGATGATGGCAGTTCAAATACCATATGTAATATTTACCATATGAACCTGCATAAATCACTTAATCTCTAGAGTCCCAAGCAACTCTCAATCTATGAAATTTTAAATAGACAGCAATCTGCATCAATGTGGATGCAAGTGTCACACAGGGAGTTCCATATGTTGAGGAAATTAATCATCATCATCATCATCATCATCATCATCGCTGGCATTTACATAGAACCTGCTAAAAATCACAGATCCCTCATAGATTTGTGTAAAGATTTATAGAATACTTTCTACTAAATTAATATGTAACAGTATTTTAACAACTAACACTTTTTCTAATGCTTAATACTATATTTCTTTATATTTTGATGTATACATGATTATATAACCATAGATAGACATTTCCTCAAGCCATAAAGATCAAAATTCCTGAATTCCTTGAATGAAGATTTAGAAACTGGTTCCCTCCATGTTTTTCACCCTGTCCAGTTCATGCCCAGGTCTCTCCATACATTCTCTATATCAGCTACCCTTCCCATTCAGAAGCTCCAAAGCCACCATAAAGGTCAGAATTTCACCTGCAGGCAAGATGTTGTACAGATATGCTCTGAAACACCATATTCCATTTAGAACTTTGAGGCAGGTTAACTCTTCAAATTCTTCTATGATTTAAGTTCTGCCCAATGAATCAGCCTCCCATATTGCCAACATACTTGGTTTCTCAGCCCCAATCAAAGCCTTACTACCTTCAATGAAAGCTGTATGTCCACACTATCTCCTTTTGAACCCTCATCTCTATTTTGATCATTCTTCCTCAGGCCCATTGCACTACAGTTCAGCAGTCTCCTAGCTCATTCACTGTGGTCCTTTGAAAATCCATCCTATTTTCAAACTCCTTTACATCCCCTAATGCTTCAACTAAACTTATCCTACCTACAGGCTTTAGCTAAAACCTGACTTTCCCATGAGAATACCACATACCTCATAACTCCCTATCCTAGAGGCCACTTTCTCTGTAACCCTACATTCACACACACAGTTAGGAGAAGAAAATTGGCATATTCTTCCCTCCCTCATGCTACTTCCATACAGTTTTTCTACCTTCATCTTTCAACAATCATATCCCTTTTAAAGCATATGTAATCTATTTATCCCTATCCTCACTGTGGTCATCTATCACCTTCCAAGTTACTCTTTCAACTTTCTCAATGGCTTGGTTCATGGATTTCTTTAATCTACCCCCAGTAACCATCTTCAGAGACTTGCAATATTCAAGCTGATAATCTCACTAAATATCTTTTTTTTTTTAGAATGTAGCCTTTGTGGTTATTATTAGCCTACTAGCATACCTGAATACTCAGTGCAAGAAGCCTTGATCTGTTCATGTAAATTGTGGTCAACCTTCTGAGTATCATGTTCCTTCTTACCATTAATGCTGCTACTTTCCCTGAAATTGTAATTTTCTGTATTGCTCTGCTGGCTACTACTGTTCAAGTTGATTGAAGTATCAACCTAAAAATAAATTTCAGATTCAGTTGTATTTTTAAAATATAATTTATATTTTAAATAAATACTTAGGTGCTAATAAAAGCATCAACCTGAAAAATCAAGGTGCACATACAAACATCTCTGGGTGTTTTTATATACATACATCATATACATATATATATACATATACATATACATATACATATACATATATGTGTGTGTGTGTGTGTGTGTGTGTGTGTGTGTGTATATATATATATATATATATATATATGTATATATATATATATATATATATATATATATATATATATATATATATATAAACACAGAAATACCACTGCCCTTGCCAAATGCAGCACAGCAGAACCCAGACCTAGCTATGCACACACCAAGGACAGTTAAAGCTTAGTGAGATGCCAAGAGTTTCATGAAAGGAAAGCTGAGATGAAGCTTAAATATTCAAGGTTACTGTGAGAAGATGGGGATCAAATTGAGGGAACAATAAGAAAAAAATGCTTAACTGTAGGATTTTATTTGATTGATTGAGATAGATAGATACAGATAGACAGACAGACAGACAGACACTGATTATAAGACTGACAGAACTTTACACAGAATTAAAAGAAAAACTAAAAGGCAAAGACCAGCAAGTAAAAGGTCAGCCTTTTTGTAGGAAAAAGCAACAACAAAGATGTCATCACACAGTTTTCCTTTTCCTTCTGGTGCCTAAGTAGTTGTATGCACATTATCATAATTCTGTGGGCACTTAATACTTGGGATGGGAGGAGAAGTGGAACACAAAGTAGAGAGCCTATAAAATACCACAGACAAATTAATAGCTTATACATTATAACCCAAATGAATTTCCATCAGATCAGATTTTGATTAGGAAGAGGGAAGAAAGAAGGGCCAAACTTTGCCTACTGTACAATTTCACTTAGGAGTCCTGCTCCCAAGTACCCAAACCCAATTAATTGCCTTCCAGCCATCTTCCCTGTGCTCCATACCTGCTGACTCCTCTCTTCCCAATTACTACTGCCTCTCACATTACCAATTTTCTTTCTGACACTCAGCCTATACTCCCATCATACACCTACCTTCCTCTCTGTCCCATTTTCTTTCTTCATTATTTCCATACTATACCAGTTATTCTCCCAAAACAAATAAATGCTTCCTTATAAATATTCTGGGGCACCTAAGTAATGCAGTGGATAGAGGGCCAGGCCTGGAGTCAGGAAGATTCATCTTTCTGAGTTCAAATCCAGCCTCAGACACTTCTTAGCTGTGTGACCCTAGGCAAATCGCTTAGCCTTGTTTGCCTCAGCTTCCTCATCTGTAAAATGATTTGGAGAAGGAAATAGCAAACTACTCCAGTATCTCGGCCAGGAAAACCTCAACTGGGGTCGTGAAGAGTCAGACACGACTGAAACAATTGAACAACAACAACAATAACAACAACCTGCTACTTGTAACTAATGTGCCCTTCTGGCTGAATAACAGAACTTGTAAGCTATGATTCTGTGTAAGTGCTGATTCACAGAGTGCTTCAAATCTAGGGCAACTTTTCTAGGGACCCTTGCATGATAGAGTCCCAGAAGCTATGCTGAATTTTAGAAAACATTCCAAAGTATAATTTATTTTTCTAACCAAAATTTACCAAAATTCTAGTGAATTTAGGAGTAATTTAGTCCTTACTCTTCAGAAACCTGAAGCAATACTAGTGTAAGAAACACTAATAAGCTGAAGCTGGTAAAGAGTATTAAGAACAGCCCCAAAATAAAGTTGATTTGTAGCTTTACTGGGGAAAAGACATTGCTCAGGAGCATTAGACAATCACAACACACAAGGCAGAGGAGGCAAAACTACCAAACTTTTATTATACTTGTTTTCTCCATGATCCAAATGACCACATTAGATTCTCCCAGGAAAGACAAAGTATGGCTGGGATTAGAGTTGGGACCCCGGGCAAATCAGTGAAAACTCCAGTGTTTCCACATTTTTCTATGACTGTAAGATGCAAATTAGCTGCTTCTCTGAATTGGTAGAGGTGGTTTCCTCACCAAGAGTTTCCCGTACCAATAAATCCACAGGGCCAGCCCCCCTCAAGAAAAATTCTTCTTTGATTCATTATTTAAGGCTGCTAGTCTAGGAATACTGATATATCCCAAGAATTAAAAATGAATTTTACTCAAAGGTCAAAGGCAAGGAACTTGGTAGGCATAGGCAAACCATCCCACTTGATCCTTCCATCCCTGCTAACTTCCATCTTATTTCTTTTCTGCCTTTTGTAGCTAAACTCCCTGAAAATGTCATCTACAATAGGTGCCTTCAATCTCTTTTCTCACTATTTTCTTAACCCTTCCAACCTCATCTTTCAACTAAAACTGCTCTCTCCAAAGTAATTAATGACCTCTCAGTTCCCAATCCAATGGCCTTTTCTCAATCCTCATTCTCCTCGACCTCTCTGGAGCTTCTGACACTGTTGATCATTCTCTCCTCCTTGATCCTCTCTTCTCTCTAGGTTTTTGGGACAAATACTCTCTCCTGGTTTTCCTGACCACTCCCGTGTCTCCTTTGCTGAATCCTCTTCCAGATCATGCCCTCCGACCATAGGTGTCCCTCAGGGCTCTGTCTTGGGCTATCTTCTCTTATCCCTCTGTACTACTCCACTTGGTGATCTCATCAGCTCCCATGCATTTAATTATCATCGTTACGCTAATGATTCTCAAAATCTACCTTTCCTGCCCCACTCTCTCTTCTGACCTCCAATTTTGGATCTATAATTATCTGTCAGTCATGTCAAACTCAATATGCCCAAAACATAACTCATGGTCTTTTCCCCAAACCCTCCGCTCCCTCCTATCTCCCCTATTACTCTAGAGAACAACACCATCCTCCCATCCCTCAGGCCCACAGCCTAGGGTTCATCCTAGATTCCTCACTATCTCTCACTGCTCCCCCTTCCAAGCTATTGCCAAGACTTGTTGATTTCACCTTTTCAACACATCCTGAATATATTCCCTTCTCTTCTCTGACACCACCACCACTCTAATGCAGTCCCTCATCACCTCTCATCTTGATCACAGCAATAGCCTACTGACGGGTCTGTCTGTGTCACGCCTCTCCCTGTTCTAATCCATCCTCCATTTAACCATTAAAGTGGTTTTCCTAAAACACCAGTCCAATCATGTCGTGTCCCACCTCCCCACTCAATAAACTCCAGTAGCTTCCTATCGCCTCCAAGAGCAAATACAACATATTCTGTTTCAGCACTCAAAGCCCTTCATAACCTAGCCACATCCGACCTTTCCTCACTCCTTGACACGTACTCTTTGATTCAGTGACATTGGTCTCCTGACTGTTCCACAAACAAGGCACTCCATCTCTTGCCTCTAGGCATTCCCTCTGACAATCCTTCATACTTGGACTGCTCTCTCTCATCCATTCTGACTACTAAACTCCTTGGCTTCCTTTAAGTTTCAACTAAAATCCTACCCCCTCCTTTGCCAACTCCTCTTAACTCCAGTGCCTTCCCTCTGTTAATTATTTCCTATTTATCCTTTATATTGCTTGCTGTGTATATATTTGTTTGCATCTTGTCTCCCCTATTAGATTATAAGCTACTTGGGGTCAGGGACTTTCTTTTGTCCTTTTCTATACCTCCAGCGCTTAGCACAGTGTCTGACACACATCAGGCACTTCATGTATGTTTACTGAATTGAAGGATGTCATCAGAGAAACACAGGGCTATAAAAAACAGATGGGCTGATTGCACCAGAATAAGAGATAACTGATGGCCTGCTACACTGTAGGCCATCTAATCCATCTAATATCAACTAGCAAAAAACTATCAGTACATTGGGTAGACTCTCTACTGAGAATTTAAAGAAGGATATGGACAAGAGGTGCATAGGATACATGGCACAAATGGCTTGTGATGCGTGTCCATAGAGGGAATACCCACAAAGATATCACACAGCCATCTTTGTCTACCAAGGAAAATGATCTTTAGACTAAAAAGTACGGAATAGAAATGGCTAATAGGGAGTTGAAACCCAAGATAAGCAAGGAGATAAGAAAGCATAGCTGCCTTTGATGAGTTCAAGTGCTAGCTAGGCCCAGGAAAATATATGTCAGGATGCCAAAAAAAAAACCAAACCTGGTAAATGTGCATAATGGATAATTTTAAGGAATCTTTGAAAGATTAAAAGGAATGGGAGAGGTACTAAGTGGCCAGAAGCAAATGAACTGACTTAAGAGAGAGAGGGAGGGAGGGAGCAAGGGAGGGAAGAAGAGAGAGAGAGAGGGGAGAATCTGCATACTACAAGTTGGTGAGCTTAACTTGAACTCCTGGCAAAGTTCCAGAGCCTATTGTTAAATGAATGGAAATAGTGATCACAAAGAGTCAGCATACTTTTATGAAGAACAGGTCATGGCACACTAATATAATTTCTTTTCTTAATGAAATTGCTGCCTGATAGACAAGAAGAATGCTGTCGAGTTTACCAAGATTTCAGCAAAGCATTTGACAAAGATTTTTATGTTATCCTTGTGGACAGGATGGAAAAATATGGGTCAAATGAAAGCAAAGTAGGTTGATGTGACACTAGCTGAATAACCAGTCCCAACAAATAGTCCATGTCAATGTGGAAAGGGTTCCCTAGTGGAGTGACCCAAGGATCTGTCCTTGACCCTGTGTTCTTTAACATTTTTATCAATGACTTAGATGAAGGCATAGATGACCTATGTATTGATACAATCTTGCAGGGATAGCTAATAGGTGAGATGACAGATCTAAAACCCAAAAAGACAGTTTAGAATAGGAATGGGGAATCTGTGGCCTCAAGGTGACATGTGGCCCTCTAGGTCCTCAAGTGTAGCCGTTGGACTGAACCCAAATCCTGATTTGTTCTAAGGCCACAGGTTCCCCTCCCCTGGTTTAAGCATATCTTCTAAGATAAAATTTAACAAGGATAAATATAAAGCACCAACTTCACCTGGGTTCAAGAAATATGCTTCAC